CCGCTTACGAGGCGCCTACTGTGTGCGCCGCGCCCAGCTCTGCCGGATTGAATCACAAAACACAACGAGCTGGTGAGTGTGTCGTTCGCGCCGGTTCGCCAGGAGGAGGGGACGGGTGGGGGGGCCTTGGATCCGGGCTGGGGACAAGGGTCGCCTTCTTGGCGACCCAGGAAAGCACAGCCGCTCCGCCGGCCGGGCTCGGTCTTCCAAGCTCCGAGGCGCCGCGCGCGAGCACGCTCTCCGGGTCGCTCGGGGCCACTCACCTTTCTGCCGTCGCCCTCGGACGAGAGAGCCAGTGCCCACGGCGAGTTCGTGCCCACGAAGAGGGAGGGCGCTGAGCACCGGGACGGTGCGGGGAGGAAGGCGCAGGCAGGGCAGTAGCTGTAAAACAGAGGGAGACCTCAGGCGCCCCCCACTCCCGCCCAGATGCGCTCCCCTTCCGGCTCAAAGCGGGCAGGGACTGATGCGTCCTCCAGGTCACAGCCACAGCCGATCCCAGACGGAGATGCGCGAGGGAAGCCCGTTGGGGGTCTGGCTGAGGGGGTCAAGCCCGGCTCCATTGCGCGCTGAGAGCTGGAGCCGGGAAAACGCAGGCCCGCGAGGTAGGGATGAGCCTGGGGCCCAGCGCAGCGCCAAGAGTGACAGCCCCATCCCGGGGCGACCCTGCCCTAACAAGCGGCGTCTGCCCAGCCGGGGACCCCAGGCCACTTCCCAGAAGCAACGATCTCCTATTAGAAATGCTGAACCCCGAGTTGATATGGGCCTCCAGGCGATGCCCTCGCGAGTCCATCCTTCTTACCCTGCTCCTCCCACGCCAGCCGCGCTTGGAGCTTCCCAGGTGTCCCAAAGCCCCCCACCCCAGGGTGCCCCTTGGCGCCCTGGTTTATCTCCCAAAGTGGGGGCGCTCTGGCGGGAACGAGGGCACCGATCACTTCTTCCCTGAGACGTAGGACATCACCGGTGCTCTCACCGTCTCCAGCGAGTGGAGGTTAGAATTTCAGACCCAGCCACTCATGCGCACCCGGGGCCCAGCTGCAGAAAGAGCTGTCATTTATTAGGCGCCCACTGTATGCAGGCGCCTTATTTGTATATTTCAGTTCTCACAGGACCCCTGGAGTCATGAACCTCACTTCACAGACAGAGACACAGAGGCCCAGAGAGGGGAGGTGGCTTGTCAAGGAGACTCTGCATGGTGATGGCCAAAACATCCTCCCAAAACCCGCCTTGTAGCTCAGCATCGCTCTCCCTCCCCACCCTCCACCCAGGCCCTTCTGGAGTTTGGATCAGGTTTATTCACTCGGTCTTCCCCTCCTGTCTCAATTCAGGAAGTGTCACCCCAGGGGCAGTAAAGCCACAGGGGCAGCCCGTCCTCCGGCTGAACGCCACCCCAGGACACCCCGCCCCCCTTTAGCCTGGGCCCCCAACCTTGGGGAGAACTGGCATCGCCTCGCGCTGGCCAGAGACCCACTCCTGGTTCTGAAAACCCGACCTGCATTCCCATCCGGATAACTCGAGCAGGAGGAAAGGAGAAGAGGGGGCAGGGAGGGCGGGCTATTTTTACACACAAACCCCATGGGGACCAAAGGGGGTTCAGGAGCTAAAAAAAGAGGGGCAGAGAGAGAGACTCCCAAGTGATAATTCGGCAGGAAGCCTGAACTCCCCCACCCTCTAAGCTGAGAGGTGCTTTTTCTTTAAATGACGTCTGTGTGACGTTATGTGTTTTTTTCCCCCTTCAATGAAGCCTCTATAAGAGACAACCTCTGTTTAAAAAACAAACAAACTATATCCATTGGGCCTGAGGTGAGAGAAATAAAAAGCAAAATGAAATTTAAATTTTATTTTAAAATGTTTTTGTTTTGTTTTGTTTTGTTTTTTTCAGAAGAGAGCCAGGGCTCCAGCCTGCACCCCCCAGGCTGCCTGGGAGGCAGCGAGCGCTGTGGGTGGAGGGGGGTACAATAGACGGGGAGGCACCCAGGAATGGGGGGACCGAGGCGATGGTGTCTGAAACCTCGCTCTCCAGAAGGAAGAGGAGAGGGACCTTTTCAAAACAACCCCAAGGCCTGGGCAGCTGGCGTGGCTGGTGTGGCTCAGTGGTTGAGCCGCCACCTATGAACCAGGAGGTCACGTTTCGATTCCCGGTCAGGGCACATGCCTGGGTTGTGGGCTCGATCCCCAGTGTGGGGTGTGCAGGGGGCAGCCGATCGATGATTCTCTCTCATCACTGATGTTTCTGTCTCTCCCTTCCTCTCTGAAATCAACAAAGATATATTTTTAAAAAATAACCCCAAATGGCTGGTGTAGGAGCAGCCTAGCCTTGAACGTGGCCGCTGGTGCCCAGCTCCCTTTCCAACTCCCAGTCCTTCTCCCCCAAGAAAGACAGAGAAGGCTGGGGCAAGGCCACCCTGGGCACCCCTGCAGCACACAAAGAACGGGGGTCTGACCAGAAACAGGGGAGCAGCTCCCCTCCCAGCACCCCCTAATTTATGGGGGTGACAAAAACTAGGTCGGCAAGCGAATGGGGGTGGCGAGGTGACCAGGGAGGGGGGGTGCGGTGCAGATGGGAGCTGAAGGGGAGTTCTAATTAGCACAAAGCCCGCACCTTCCATTAATAGCTCTCCATCAGCTCCGGATGCTGAGGAGGGAGGCAAGTGGGAAGGTGTGAGGCTCACCTGTCCCCCCCACCTCCCTGCTCATTAACAGGCCGGGGTGAGAACAGGGCTGTCCTGGCAGAAGACCAGCCCCCACCCCCAGTCTAATTCCAGGCCTGACTTCTGGGCCCGTCCCAGGGAGAGAGCTGAACACAGTCCAGTGTGACCATCCACAGGCAAGCTGGACAGTCGCTCAGCCCTGCCTCCCAGGAGGGCGCTCCCTGACAAACAACAACAGCCCGGCGGGCATGACTCAGGGGTTGAGCATGGATCTAGGAACCAGGAGGTCACGGTTCCCCCCAGTCTAATTCCAGGCCTGACTTCTGGGCCCGTCCCAGGGAGAGAGCTGAACACAGTCCAGTGTGACCATCCACAGGCAAGCTGGACAGTCGCTCAGCCCTGCCTCCCAGGAGGGCGCTCCCTGACAAACAACAACAGCCCGGCGGGCATGGCTCAGGGGTTGAGCATGGACCTAGGAACCAGGAGGTCACGGTTCCATTCCCTTCCCGATCAGGGCACATGCCTGGGTTGTGGCTCCATCCCCAGTGTGGGGCGGGCGTGCAGGAGGCGGCCGATCCATAATTCTCTATCATCATGGATGTTTCTCTCTCTCTCCTCTCCCTTCCTCTCCGAAATCAATAAAAATATATTAAAACAACAACAACAACAAACAACCTCCTGGCATACACGCCACATATATGACACCCTAGCTAGGTGCTTGGTGAGAGGAATCAGAAGGAGGGTGGGGAACCATGGGCAGAGGCAGGAGGGAAGTTTCTGGAAAGACAGAAGGCTGCCCCCCTGTTGGCTCCGTGGGTGTAAACGCATCCGTCAGACCCCATGGAACTGTGCACCCAGGATCTGTTTCTCTATGTCAATGGGACTTGCAGTCACACAGGTCGGTGCATGTCGCTGTCTGTCACATGCAGACACGCAGACGTCCCGGCCTCTGACCGGGTTCCCGGCGCCCGTGATCCCTGGGCCAGAAGGTTCACACCCTTTTCAGGGGTCACCGTGGAGAGAGGGGGCCGGAGCAGCTGGGGAAACGGGCTGGGGGGGGGCGGGGGCACATCTCGCACGCTCAGGCCCCGGCTGGCCGTGGAGGGAGGAGGAATGTCTGAATTGAATCAATTAGCGGCAGAAAACTTCAGAAAAGAAGCGAGGCCCTTCCTAAAAACAAAGCCCACTCCTTAATCCCCAAAGCAATCCCCTCGCCCATTCCCAGGGCCCTTCCCCCGTAAACAAAGCCGTCCCCGCGGCCTCGTCCACACCTCGGCGTTCATTAGGAGCTGAGGTTAGAGACTGCATTCCAGCCCCCTGGAGTGCCCTAATGGCTGGGACCCCAGGGCACGGGCTCAGGGCTGGCTCTCTCTCTCTTTCTCTCTCTCCCTCTCTCTCTCTCCCTCCCTCCATCTCCTCTCCTCTCCCCGTGGCAGCCTGTTCTTCCTCTCCCCCTCTCTCTTTCTTCTCGTCTTCAAATCAGTGAATAAGCAAACCCAAGCCAAGGAAATCCAGGCGAAGACATGGCTAACTCCACTTTGTCCATTTATTTTGACAAGTGCCGTTTAATTTGAATTCTTTTTTTTTGGGGGGGGGGGGGGTTCTTTTTTAAAAACATTTTT